ATCCCCAATATCTTCTTTTACAAAGAAAGATCTCTGAATCGCTTTCAACATGCATCAAATCTGAAGGCCCTAGGCCTTTGCCACATTGAACGTTGGGAAGATTCGCAGCAGCGAAAGTTTCCATGGACGCAGGTTACTAAGATTGATGTTGCTCAATGCGAGGATATGATGAAGCCCATCTTTGAGATGCATAGTCTCCAAGGATTGCGCTTTCGCCAGTCAGGCTTTGAAGGTGCTGTCAAATTGTGTTCACCTCCGATAACTACTCCCTCCGTCCAGAAACTTGCTCTTACCCTCACACAAACATCTTATCCCGAGTCCGAGAGATTGGCCAATGTGGTATTTTCATCCATCGCGTGCCCCTCCTTAACCTCTCTTGTCATTGAAGGTCTAGCTGGATATAAGCACGTATGGCCTAGAGATGCGGTAAACGGCTTCATATCCCGGTCATCTTTTCATCTTACGACTCTCTCAATCAAGTTTGTTCCACTCTCAGACTCTGATCTGATTGACGTCCTCCGTCGTCTTCCTTCTCTCGTTCATCTCACTGTAGATGATTCCAACATTCCTACTAATTCTCCAAATCCCATAACTCTGCGATTCGTGCAAAGTCTGCATGCGTTCCCTCACGCGAGCTCTGCTATAATCCCGTCGGTGCTGATGCGAAGCCTGAAGAGTCTTTCACTGACATTCAGTGGCTCCGATGCTCAGGATGGGTTCGACGATAGGGGGTTTGTTGATGTGATTTCCTCAAGGTGGTTTCCCGACCATTATGCTAATCGGTATGGGCTTGACGCCTTGTATTCATTGGATTCAGAGGGCGGAATAGCATGCTTGCGTTCGGTAGTCATGCGCTTCACAAGTCGAGATGTTGATGAGGAGATATACAGTCCGCTGAAGAACTTCGAAGAAGAAGGCATGATGGTTGTAGTCGTTGGCCAAAGTTTGTGATTTTCAGTACTTATATTTGGGTCAAGATGTTTTAACTTTAAATACTGCTGTATTCGGTACTCAAAAATCAGTAACTTCAAATAAAATAACAAGCAAACTAATTGTTTTATGTATAGCGTGCAGTTTTTTCAAGTTTGCGGGCCGGTTACCCCTATAAAAGTTCAGATTCTTCAACTCATTCATCATCGAGCATCGAGCAAGTCATTCCTTATGCTTTCCGTCAAATTTCAGACAGAGAGCATTCACCTACGAGCGAACATAGACTTGGAGGAGATACATCGAAGATCACGCACGGAGTACGGTTCTGGATGCGAGGTTGAAATATCCCGAGTTCTCGCAGATGTCGACAAGGACCTCGACGACTGCGACTCCGAAATCAGTCGTCTCCAGTCGCACATCATCTTTTTGCAAAATCATCGCCAGCGATTAGAAGAATACAGAGGATGCTGGGAACCCTTACGGTCGCCTATTCGTAGACAGCCTAACGAGATCATTCTCCGCGTCTTCGACCTTGTCTGCGACATGAACGAGCTCACCTCGAAGAAGCTACAGAAAATGCCTGCATTGGCAATCAGCGGCGTGTGCTTCCGTTGGAGGGCCCTTGCCACATCCTGTCCCAAGTTATGGTCCCGTATATCCATTCAGATTTGGGCGGCACCTCGTCATCTAGCAGGTTTGCCCATCTTGGATCTTTTCCTTGATTCTTCCCGGCAATCTCCTCTCATTATTGAATTTCCTTTCATAAAATATCCTAAAGCCCTAGAATCAGAACACATAGCTGTATGTGCTGCTATATTGGTGCATGCAGTAATCGCTGGTACCGACTTACTGTATGCGGGTGGATGATCTATGATGCCATTGTAGCCCATAATCCTTCAAATTTCCCATTACTGGAACACCTTGCATTACCAAATCTTGTCGATAGTACTGGCTGGAGAGCAGCTACACTGGATCGCTACCAAAACGCTCCAAAATTGCATACACTGGCATTCGGAGGTGTACCACCGATAAACAAGGACTTGGACTTGTGGACACGGCTCACCCTGCTTGATGTTGCTCAATGCAATTCGAAGTTAAAGGATGTCTTCGAGATATGCTCTAATCTCAGGGAATTGCGTTTTCGCCAATTCGAAACTGGCCTCCCCATCAAACTTTGTTCACCGCCTATATCAGCTCCTTTTGTGGAGAAGCTCACTCTTTCCCTCACACAAACATTTTATGCGGAATCTGGGGGACTAGCAAATGTGATATTTGCATCCATCACATGTCCTTCTCTAACCTCGCTCTTCATCGAAGGTTTAACTGGATATGAGGATAAATGGCCTAGAGATGCGGTGAACGACTTCATATCTCGGTCAGCTTTTCATCTCACAACTCTCTCAATCAAGTTTGTCCCACTTTTGGACTCTGACCTTATCGACTTTCTTCATCGCCTTCCTTCCCTCGTTCATCTCACCGTAGATGATTCCAACATTCCTACTAATTCTCCAAGTCCCATAACCTCAGCATTCGTGCAAAGCCTGCATGCTTTCCCTCCCACCAACTCTGCTACAAATTCTTCGGTGTTGATGAAAAGTCTGAAGACCCTTTCACTGACGTTCGGTGGCCCAGGCACCTTTAATGACAGGGTGTTCGTCGATATGGTATTATCGAGGTGGTTTTCTAGCACTTATGCCGATGGGTATGGTCCAAACACTTCGAATGTTAGAACGACATGTTTGCGTTCTGTTGTCATGCGCTTCACTAGACGAGATGTTGATCAGGGAATCTATAGGCAGCTGAAATATCTTTCAAAAGAAGGTATGAGGGTGGTGGTCGTAGGACAGGCTAAAACTTGACATTTTCCCTTCTTCGCTTAAGACAAAGTTAGTATTTACCTGTCGAAACCCTGTTAGTTCCCTTAACCCGTTCAGCAATATTGCGTCGATGTCACCGCACTGAACTATAATCCGTGAAATTAGGCCGTTTACTTGCTCAATGTAAGAAATCTTCGTGAAGCCACACTCAACTAACGGGGCGGCCGAACCTTTTTGTAACCTCACCATCACTTGAGACAGTTCCCGGTCGAGGCAAGTCACAGTCTGATTTATTGAAGCTAATTCAGAGTCGGAGTCGGAGTCTATACATTTTGCATCGAGCACAAGATAATTTCCACAAGTTCGAGGTTCATTCCAGACAATTGCGATGAAGAATGTAAGAGATTGATTTCTATGAGAATGCGAATGCGTATAGGAAATTACATGACGTTGAGGTCGCCGAACTTTTCCTTGTACCCTATAATGATGTTTTGGGTCAGCAAAAGAAACGGGAAGCCGAGAAATGGAGAGGCAGGAGGGAAAAGAAAGGAGACGAAACACGTTGCAAAATCGAACACTCACCAGGTACACTCCATTTGCCCTTCTTCATCATCGTCTCGACGGTCTCGATTATACGAGGGTGAGCCTCGCCAATGTCCATGACCTAAAGCAGGACGCAGCATATGTGATTCAGTAAGTCGAGTGCAGACTGAGACGAAGACAGCTCACGGTAAGGTCCTGGAAAGGACGTGCGTCCTGAATGTTTGAGAGAGTTGCCTGCAGCTCTTTAAGCTCCAAATCGATCTTCTGCTCTGTCTCTTTTGCCTTGGAGACCTGTATAACGTAGTTCAAAAAACGAAAGGATATGGGAATGGAGCAAGAGTATATGAGAAGGGAAAAGAAAGGAAAAGGATTCAGCTATTACTAGAAACGAGAGCAAAGACAAGGACCAAAACGTACGGCTTTAGCCTCGAAAGCATCAATCGCCTTGATATGTTCCTTCACGTCGTACGTGACTGGTTTGAAGTCTTTCAGTAGCTTCTCTGCTTCGTCAACGATAGACTTGTTCTTCAGCACAGAGCGGTAGTGAGAAAAGTCGACAGTGGTTGGTTGCTCGGCGTATGAGGCCTGCACGCGTTGGGCTTCGCCGTGGCGCTTGCGGAAAGCTTGGAGAGCGGCAATTGTCTCTATAATGGTAATTTTAATCAGTAATCCAAACTGGAAATTAGCATGTTCAATAAAAACGCACCCTTTCCGAGGCCTAGAGTAGTATAGATGCGGGTAAAGTCCTATGTAGTAATAATTCCAGCATTTGTGAATATTCTTTTTCGCCAACGAATCAAAACTCACAACCACCGCAGCGGCAGTTTTAGAAGCCATTTCCTGGAAGAATAATTAGCGCAAGATTCACAGCTGGATTCTTGCATGTAGGACGAACTTTTAGCAAGATGAGAGTTGAGACGAGAAAGGATCGGTAGACGACGGACAAAGGCCCCGTGACCTTCCGATAGCCTTTTCGGGATGATCAAAGCTGTATCCTCTTCGTTCTAAACCACCATCACCGTAGGCAAAAGCCGCGAAACTCGTTCCACACAGAACGTATCTTCGTTCTTCTTTACGAGTGGGCTAAGGTCCGAGTATAAATGCTCCCTTGATTGGCTCTAGCCGAGTCTGGCTTTAACAAGTCAAACGACGCATCAGAAATTAGCCATAGCACATCTCCAACCGAAGACCTTTGTACTCTCGAGTACGAGACGAGGGAACCTGGAGATGTATGCGAAGCTTGGAATCTGTCGTGGAGATGGGGTGCTATCGTTCTCAAATTCCTTTCGCGTCTTTCCTCATTCTCACACCAGGCGTTCCTTGATTTTCAGGGAGCACGAGTGGAGCTCGAACTGGATTCATCCAGTTGAGCTGGAGCGCGACTCGTTGCGCTGCAGGTAAAAAGCCACTCGTTCGCTTTAGGGCCTTTTTCAAAAATCAACACCTAGCTTTGATGACTTTGGTCACAAAGTAGGTGCTGATCAGGTGTTTGGGAGGAAACTACTACAAAGAGTTTTTTGAAGGCGATTGTGTCCTTTTAGTGCACTTCGCGGCGCGCGCGTTAACCACGGGCGCAACTCGATTCGGACTACTCTTGGCCTACGAACCAATTTTTTCCCCATGCAAACTCTCTTCGGAGAAGTCGTTTTACCGCATTACTTGATTTCAATTTAGAAGGAGATCAAGGGAAACGATGGACAAGTTCAGCATGGTTCGGTGGTGTAGTGGTTATCACGTCTGTCTCACATCTAGAGCTCGCCTCGCATGTGCACAGGAGGTCCCCGGTTCGAGACCGGGTCGAACCAATATTGAACGCTCGATTCTCGAGTCTTTTTGTTGTGCTCGTTTTGAACATCCTCCTCAATCGATTGAGAACGCTTTCAGTCAAAGCCGATGTTTTGGACTCAGTAGGTTCCACAATGATAGCAAAATAAAATAGCGGGAAGAAATCTGAAGAGGAGTCCGACAGTTTATCGCGATGTCATATATATATACAAGATATCGGAACTGGTAAGAAGGAAATCGATTAAATAAAGCAATCTTTAAGCACGCCAAAAACGAAACATTACCGGTCTCGACAACAAACCCAAAGCTACACGGAAGAATCACGAATTTTTGCCGACAACCACAACCATCATACCTTCCTCTTCAAAATACTTTAGTGGCCGATATATCTCTTCGTCGACATATCGATTTTTGAAGCGCATGACGACCGAACGCAAGCACGCTGTTCTGCTTCCCGAATCCATGGTGTCAAGCCTATATCCATCGGCGTAATGGTTGGGAAACCACCTCGAGGAAACCATGTCAACAAACTCTTTATCATCTAAAGTTCCTTCTGCTTCTGGAGCTCTTGAACGTCAGCGAAAGACTCTGCAGTTTTTGCACCAACGGTGAAGAGATTGCAACAGAACTCCTGCGATGTAGGGCATGTAAACTCTTTGAAAGTCGAGTTGTTATGGGACTTGGAGAATTGGCGGGTATGCGGGAATCATCTACAGTGAGATGAAGGAGGGAAGGGAGGAGACGGAGAAGATCGATAAGATCAGAGTCTGAGAGTGGAATAGACTTGATTGAAAGAGTCGTGAGGTGAAAAGACGAACGGGATACGAATCCATTCGCTGCATCTCTAGGCCACTCATGCTTGTATCCAGTTTGATCATCAGCTTCGATGAACAGAGACGTTAGAGAAGGGCATGTAATGGATGCAAATATCACATTTGCCAATCTCTCGGGATCTGGATAAGATGTTTGTCGGAGGGTAAGGGTGAGTTCCTCAATAAAAGGAGCTGATAGAGGAGGTGCACAGAGTTTGATCGACATCATCATGGAGTTGTCGAAAGCTGCAATGCTTTGAGGTTGGAGGACCGTTCAAAGATATGCTTCATCCTATTATCACATTGAGCAATGTCAAGTAGAGTGAGCCGCATCAGCAAATCCCTGCTTCCGTCTTGCAACTGCACAAGGAGTACATGAGCAGTGACAGTGCATGGAGATTTGGAGCACCTTGAAAGCGACGTAGTAGCAAATCTGCATGATCATTATTCCCGATACGTTTGGTAACTCGAGGCATTCCAGTAAAGGGAAATCTGAAGGATTGTGAGCTACAATGGCTTCATAAATCATCCACAGCGATATGGTCAGTCGCTGCCAAGCGATTGACTGACATGCACCAAGAGCAGCACAAACTTGTAGATGACCCGCTTCTAGTGTCTCAATGTCGTTCAGAGGAACCTTTGATGGTGAGTCGGATGCTTGTTTCGAAGAATCAAGGTAAAGATCCAAGATGGGCAAGCCTGGTAGATGTCGAGGTATCACCCACATCTCGAGTTCGATACGGGACCATAAATCGGGACAGGATTTGGCAAGGTTCCTCCAACGTGAACACACATTGCTGATCACCAATGCAGGCATGGTCTGCAGCTTCTTCGACGTAAGTTCGTTGCATATCGCAGGCGAAATTGAAGATCGCGGAGAACAGTTTCGTTAGGCAGCCTGCGAATAGGCGACCGGAGGAAACGTAGACAGCCTTTGTATTCCTCTAACCGCTCGCGGTGATTTTGTAGAAAAATGATACGCGACTGCAGCCTGCGTACTTCAGCATCGCAGTCGTCCAAGTCCTTGTCGATATCGTTGGATATTTCATTGTCAGCGTCGGATTGGATTGCGGTGCCGTATTCGGAACGTAGCCTTCGACGTATCTCCGTGAAGTCTACGTTGATTCGTAGATGAAAGCTCGATTGGGGATTCGGAGGAGCCATCAGGAGTTAGCGTGCTGAGCTTGATCATTGAGTGCCAGTTGAGAACAGGACGGATTTACCATGTAACAAAGCGACTCACGACTTCGAGAAACTAATGTTTAAAAATATTGCGCAGTGGGAAATGGGTTCCAGTTGAGGAAAACTAGCAAAAACGCTGTTAGCATACCGCTAAATGTAAGAACAATATTAGGAGCGAGTGAGATGTGGATGACCAGTGATAATGATATGACACTTCCAATCCAATGCAGCAAACAAGGACGCTGCAGCTTCCAATTTTTCCAGTGCCACTCACCCTTCGAAAACGCGTTGAAATTTGAAGTTTTTTGGGAGGTAGACCGGTCTAAAACTGCACTAGGGTAGCGGTAAAGAAGTTAACAAGCTAGCAAGAGCTCGAGAAAGAACTAGGATGGTGGTCGAAATCACAAAGTAAAGAGACGCCCACATTTCATTATTAGGGCTCGTTGAAGTCATCTCGCTATTTCTCACAATTCAGCTTACGTTGGAAAACGCAGCCTTGGCCATCCAGAGACAATGCATGATCTAATGTATGGAGCAGGATGTGGATATGAGCAAGACGCGACGCGCCCGTGCTCATGTCATTTACGATGAGTACTATCCGCGGTGGAGGTTTTATCATTCAACATTGAAGGCTGTTCATGACCAGGACTTCACCGAGCTTACTTCCTATCCAGTATCCAAGCTTCACCTTCATATGGTTCGGTGGTGTAGTGGTTATCACGTCTGTCTCACATCAAGAAGCTTTTCAAAGTGCACAGGAGGTCCCCGGTTCGAAACCGGGTCGAATCATGTTTTTTTTTTCCGCGAACCGTCGCGTGACGTCATGGTCAAAGCTGACTCCAAGTGACTGACGTATGTATGACGCTTGGCTTGAGCTGGCACTTATAAGGGCAACAAGGCTTCGAATTCTAAATCTAAACCATCTTACTGATACTCATCTCACGAAATGTCATTGTTCTCTCACTCTCACCGCCGTGACCGCCGCCCCCACTCTAACACTGCTCGTAGAAGAGAGCGCTATTACCATCGCCGTGATGTCGACCATGTTGCTGGAGGCTACAGTGAGTACATTTGACTTTCTCAAGACAAAAACTAATCTACATATCATCTGCAGAAGCTGCCCTCGCTAACCCAAACACTACGCGTCGTGGCCGTAGTCACGCCAAGCAGGAGTTGCGGGCAATGGTCAGTCGATACTCTTCTTACTCTTATCAACAACGCATCTAATGCATAGTTATGTATCCAGGGCGAAAGCACTCACGTCCCATTTATGACCAAGGTCAAACGCACTCTTGGAATTCGAAGCACGCCACGTCGCAAACGCGAACAGGAGAAACACTATGAACGAGAGCATACGTCTACGAGGCGACGATACTAAATACTATTAATGTTTAATTTCCTTATACCCTCTGTAGCGAAAAGTTATCAGCTCACTGTATCTCGTAAGATTTATACCTTACATGTACTTTAGCAATACTAATCTTTGTGCACATTTCGATCCCAGAGGGAAGGAAGGAAGGAAGGAAAAAGTCAAATAAGCGCCGAATGCTTCAATTCATGAACCGCTGCCACGAGGAGCTATTTAGTATTTGAGCTCAAGCTTTGCCCTTTCCCATCTTCGTTGCTTAATTGGCCCTCCGTTTTGAAAGATTTTTCTTGCAACCAATGTTGGAGAACAATGGGGATAACGACATGAAGAACCTTCGACCAGCCGGCGCCTACATATCGGATTCTGCATACTTTTCTGTCATATGTCCCATGATCATGGCGGTAAGGTTGTCGGAAATCGGAAATTACAGAATTATTCCTCGTGTGCGTTTCATTCCTGTCAGATTTACTCTTATCTTCTCACAAAATTTTATTCTCAGCAGGATGTAGTTGGGGTTGTGTTTGCTCTTTTGCCTAAGTAGAGTCACCTCTCAGTCCGCAAGGTTTCTGAGGACATTGGCCTTGAAAGCCATGAAATTTTTGCCAGCAGTAACGTGCCAGGACGTGTGCAATGTGCATCCTGATAACGAAAACGGGAGCTTCCGATCTAGATCCAATCTAGAAGCTTGAATTCCTCAATCCCTCTTACAACGACTCTCGCTACCATCGCCTCGTTGCGTTCGATAAACTCAGACGGAACCCCTCCTTCCTTTTCCGCTTCATCATATAAAGGGTGAACGATACACAAATTCTTTCATTCCTGCAATGCCATCCTTCATGGAGATGGACTTGGGCTTCCCTCAGCTCCGATTCAGTCATCGTCAACTTGCAACGTGGTATTTTCTTCGGGTCAATATTGTTTTTTGTCAGTTTCCTTGCCTATAAATCTCAGCAACTTGGTTCTTCCGATAACGACGATTCGAACGCCCAAGTGGAAGTACCTACATCGGAGAAAAACCAGTCCAAGGAAACGAAGGAGCGAGAATGGGGTGGTAGGCATTCTTTTTGCGCATCTTCCTGCTTACGGTGAAGACTGATCATGTACTGTACATGTAGAATGGAAACCCGCAAAATTTTCCTACCCATCCGTCACTCCAAGCCCCAATCCAATGGATATGAAGCCAATTCCGTATCGTCCTTTTAGATGGGGAGCTTACCAGTGCGTAACGACACATGATTGGCCATCGTTGACATCATCACTTGCTTACTGCTGATATCAGCGTTACGATGGGTATCCGAGATATGCCCTGGAACGAGTGGATCGAGGTGAGTTGCTTCTGATACAGGTTGTATTTCCGCAATCTGACAGAGGTACAGCTCGATAACCAGCTAGCGTCGTATTATTACATCAAGAAACATCGTATTGCTACGCGGGGCACGAATGTAGTGCGGGTATTGCCTGACAGGCCTGGAGTAGTCAAATCAGCGAGTCATGCCGGTGAGAAACCTTTGAATAATCACGAAACCACTACTGACGCGAACGCCTACTTAGCGATCGAGCTTGTGCATGAACTCGCAGACTATCTCAGCAAACGCTATCCCGATACTTTTACAGTCTCTCGAAGTGCTTGGGGCCATATCTCGAGCATTACCATCGT